GTGTTCTGCAAAGCGGTCCCCGAGTCTCCGCTTGGTTTCCCCGATGTAGAGGAAGCCACACCGGGTACAGCGGATGCAGTATACCACATTGGCAGATGTGCAGGTGAACATCTGCTTGATGTGGAAAGTCTTCTTGGGGCCTGGGATGGGGGTGAGGGAGGAGGTATGGGGGCAGGTGTAGCACTTCCTGCGGTTGCAGGGAAAAGTGCCGGGTGTGGTGGAGCTGGAGGGGAGTGTGGAGCGGACAAGGGAGTCACGGAGAGAGTTGTCCCTCCGGAAAGCAGATAAAGGTGGGGAGGGAAAGATGTCTTTGGTGGTGGGGTCGGATTGCAGATGGCGGAAGTGTCGGAGGATGATGCGTTGGATCCGGAGGTTGGTGGGGTGGTACGTGAGGACGAGGGGGATTCTTTTTTGGTTTTTATTGCGTGGACGGGGTGTGAGGGATGAGGTGCGGGAGATGTGGGAGACACGGTTGAGGGCGTTCTCGACCACCGAGGAGGGGAAGTTACGGTCCTTGAAAAACGAGGACAACTGAGATGTACGGGAGTGGAATGCCTCATCCTGGGAGCAGATGCGGCGGAGGCGAAGGAATTGGGAATAGGGGATAGCATTTTTGCAGGAAGGTGGGTGGGAGGAGGAGTATTCTAGGTAGCTGTGGGAGTCGGTGGGCTTGAAATGAATATCGGTTTCTAGGTGGTTGCCCGATATGGAGACAGAGAGGTCCAGGAAGGGGAGAGAGGTGTTAGAGATGGTCCAGGTAAACTTAAGGTTGGGGTGGAAGGTGTTACTGAAGTGGATGAACTGTTCGAGCTCCTCGTGGGAGCACGAGGCGGCGCCGATACAGTCATCAATGTAACGGAGGAAGAGGTGGGGTTTAGGGCCGGTGTAGGTACGGAAGAGGGATTGTTCCACGTAACCTACAAAGAGGCAGGCGTAGCTTGGGCCCATGCGGGTACCCATGGCTACCCCCTTTGTCTGTAGGAAGTGGGAGGAATTGAAAGAGAAGTTGTTGAGGGTGAGGACGAGTTCGGCTAAGCGGATGAGGGTGTCAGTGGAGGGGGACTGGTCGGGCCTGCGGGACAGGAAAAAGCGGAGGGCCTTAAGGCCATCTGCATGGGGAATGCAGGTGTAAAGGGACTGGATGTCCATGGTAAAGATGAGGTGTTGGGGACCGGGGAATTGGAAGTTCTGGAGGAGGTGGAGGGCGTGGGTGGTGTCATGGACATAGGTAGGGAGTTCCTGGACCAAGGGGGAGAAAATGGAGTCTAGATAGTTGGAGATCAGTTCGGTGGGGCAGGAGCAGGCGGAGACAATGGGTCGACCAGGGCATTCAGGTTTGTGGATTTTGGGAAGGAGATAGAAGCGGGCAGTGCGAGGTTGGGGAACGATGAGGTTGGAGGCCGTGGGTGGGAGGTCACCTGAGGTGATGAGGTTGTGGATGGTTTGGGAGATGATGGTTTGGTGCTCAGGGGTGGGGTCATGATCAAGGGGGCAGTAGGAGGTGGTGTCGGAGAGTTGGCATCTGGCCTCGGCGATGTAGAGGTCAGTGCGCCATACTACAACTGCGCCTCCCTTGTCCGCGGGTTTTATGGTGAGGTTGGGATTGGAGCGGAGGGAGTGGAGGGCTGCACGTTCTGCGGGGGAGAGGTTGGAGTGGGTGAGAGGGGTGGAGAGGTTGAGGCGATTGATGTCTTGACGGCAGTTGGAGATGAAGAGATCGAGGGAGGGTAGGAGGCCTTGGGGTGGTGTCCAGCAGGGGCCGTGTATATAAGAGCTCAATTCTTGCTCATAAGAAATCAGAAGAATAAGGGAAACCTGTTCTGAAATTACTCAATCGAATTTATTATTGGAATTGGAAACTTACTAGAAATTAGTATAATTTATCCAGTTCTCATTTGAAGAAGTTTATCCTTAGGCTGCAATATAATTTCAACAGGGTTAGATTTTAAGCAAACATTTTGGCTGACTTAAACAAAAATGGAAAGTTGTGATGAATGGTCACTGGATTCGAAGCATTAACTCTGGTCTTTTCCAACACAGCTGCTGCTCAACCTGCTAAGTTTCTCCAGCACTTTTTATTTTTGTTTCAGATTTCCGGTATCTGCAGTTGTTTGTTTTATTTTGGCTTATTTATTTGGAATGGATAAATGTCTGTGTATGCCATCATTCCTGAATTGTGCTGTCTTTGAGTCTCGCAAACAATTTCCACTCCATGTAGTAAGACATAAGAAAGGAACTTTGCAATTATGATGTCTTTCACAACCTTGCAACACACTTCAAGCATTGAAATACTGCTCAAATGTAGTGACTGATATAATGTAGAAAAATGCAGACAGTCAACAGTGCAAAGCAAGATCACATAAATGATAATTATACAAATGTTTCGAAGATCTGTTAGAGTAACTATGATTGAGACTGGTCAAAATGTATGCAGTGGAAAGTCCTGAACTTCATTTGGTATCATGGGATCTTTTACTGTCTGCCTGGAACACTGACAGTACAGCAGTCTCTCAGAACTGCACTTGAATGTTATGTTTAAGCCTCACCTGTGGGCTTTTGATATAAGAGACAAGAACACTGCTACTGAACCAAGGCAGACATTACTATTGGAAAAATATGAACACAGCTAAGGAAAGTTTCTGGTAGATATTTGAAAAGATTTTTAATAGCCTTTTATTTCTTTTTCAGGTGATGAACTATCCATTCTGTTGGTTCAAATAATGTTATGTATGCAAGCTGTTCGACGCCTTGCAGAATGTCTTTTCACCTCTGTGTTTTCAAATGGAGTTATTCATCCAATACAGTATTGCTGGGGTTTGGTTTATTATGTGCTTGTTGGTTTAACAGTGCATTGTGAAGGACCCATTCTTGGGATCAAAGGTAGGCTATCTTTCATATGTGATTTACCTATGTGGATGGTTAGATTTTCTGTGCTGAATTTTGTCCATCATGCACCAACTTTCACAAAGAGACAGCACAAGCAGAATGAGCTGAATGACATTGTTTTACAGTCATAGAGTTGTACAGCACAGAAACAGACCCTTCGGTCCAACTTATCCATGCCGACCAGATATCCTAAATTAATTGAGTCCCATTTGCCAGCATTTGGCCCATATCCCTCTAAACTCTTCTTTTTTGTGCTTCATCATTCTGTGATGTTATTTATGTATATCCTTTCTTCTTTGTGCTTAGTCAAAGCCAGAAATTAGGATGTGAAATAAATGTGAAATAATCAGTGTTGAAATAAAATAATGAAGTTGTGCTGCTCCTTTAATTTTGGCTGGACAGTTAAATGTAAGTGTACTGTAATTTAGGGGCATTTCCTGATTGAGACGTACTAAATCTAAGCCTTGTGAATCCTTTCAGAAAACAATTTACAAAGATTTGTGTTTGCCCCAGTGATATCTGCAATTCAAATGTGCAAAGTGTGGATGTTTAAAAAACTTCTGCTTCAAAGTTTTAATGTAAGAGAGCTATCTGCATTGGCAGTGGAGCTATTTGATTCTGTGCCAGTAGACTTTGAGTGAATTTAGTTGCTGAAGTATAGATCCAGCCTAAAATAAAATGTTTGATATTTTAGTCACTATTTTTCCTTGTGTAGCGTACACAATTGGAGACCTGTTTGCACAAGGCAGGTGGTACCATGCAGCTGGAATAATGCTGTTTTTGTGGGCAACAATACATCACTACAGGAGTCATGTGATATTGGCCAGTCTTAGGAAGAACAAAATGGGTAAGAATACTACACAATATTTCTGTAAATAGGAAGTCTGTTTATGAAACTGCTGGCTCATCTATAACATTGCAAGCTAAGCTATTTTGCGTTCTGTAAATTCAGTAATGATTGACTTAACCTAATATATTCACATATCATGGGGAGAAAACAGAGTTAATGTTTTGAGTCTGAACTGAAGGTTCACAGGACTCAAAATATTAATTCTGCTTTCTATCCATAGATGGTACCAGACCTGCTGAGTTTCTCCAGCAATTTCTCTTTTTTTGTTCTAGATTTCCAGGATTTTCAGTTCTTTGTTTTGTTTTGTTATATTATGTTTGCATATCAAGTAGATATAATATGCAGAGTACCATTTAAATTGGCACACATTTTCTCTTCATCCTCTTTATACCCCTGCAAAAAAAAGAACTAGTTCACGTGCAAGTCTTCGTGTGTAATCTTAAACATTGCATGTTTGGAGACTGTGCAGGGAGCATCACTACTGAGTGATCCTGGTATCCAAAATTTATTGATGAACATTTCGAACAATGACTGAATGATTATCTGCAGTGGAAGTCCCACCAATCCTGTAAGACAGTCCAACTGTTCATTTTGTGTTCTGGCTAAGACCTGTTAACTCAGTAAAGTATAAATGGAACACAATATACAATATTTACCTGACAGTATAATGGGAAAATTAGATCATATATTTAATTAAAAATAAATGTCAAGGGGGTTTCTGTGGTCAAGTTTAGCTGACGTCGAGGTAATGTTCAGTAGGTGAAAGATCATTTCTCTCCCTGTCCCAAAAGCTTTTTCACAGAGGTATGTATGTATGTAGGTAAAGCTCATAGATTAGGCAGATCACCAGCAAAGCAAATGCTCAGGTTGATTTGAGGTTGTTGAATTGTGATTTTTGATTCTATCTTGAATCAATGCGAAGATGTCCAACTTTCACTGGGTATTTTCTCCTAATGGTATGGCTATATCAAAAAAAACAGTGCTCATGAAACCATAACTAAAAGGCCACAATCAATTATCTAAACATTGAAAGACAATATGACTCCAGAAAGTGATTTAGTGAAAGTCGGTTCTGTGCAGTAACAAGAGTTAAATTAGTCATTGATATTTATTAGATCGTTACAGGTTGTATTTTCATCATTTTAACTGTAGAGATATTGCTATTCAGTAGAAATATACAATATAAATACTTGTATAGGATGTAGACATCCAGTTTTCCGATGTAATAACTTTTTTAAAACCAAATAGCGCATATTTTGTATGCAGATAATCAAAAATATTTTTTGACTTGATCTCTAAGGTTAGATGATTTTTTTTTTAGAAAGATTTTTTCTTTCCACAAAGCAACTTATTTCAACATGTGTTTATCTTTATTTCTCCTTCTGATCAGGTTAAGATGTGAAACAATTATCTAGTTCATTGGGATAATTTTCAGATTGGAGTTTACATACTAAATAATGTGCTGTGCTAAGAGATTTCATTCATGCATTTCACTCAGAACTGTTTCTGTTAATTATATTTAGGTGAAGTGATTCACTTCAAGCATGCCATCCCCTATGGTGACTGGTTTGAAATGGTTTCCTGCCCTCATTACTTAGCTGAACTGTTGATCTACCTTGCTATCAGTGTGACCTTTGAAGGACGACACCTTACCTGGTGGTTTGTAATATTATATGTGTTTTTCGCCCATGCAGTGATGGCTGTTCTGTGTCATGAATTCTATGTGAAGAAGTTTGACAATTACCCAAAAACACGGAAGGCATTTATACCTTTTATATTTTAACCCTATTTTTGCGTATGTTATTGGAGCTTACAGATTTCAATGCTTACCTGTTATTTTGTTCAACTTTCTTGTTTAAAATTTACCAAATCAATTATAAAACCTAACACAAGTATCTTCTGGGAGATCATCTTTTTCTAGAGTCATAGAGTTGTACCGCATGGAACAGACCCTTCAGTCCAACTTGTCCATGCCAACCAGATATCCTAAATTATTCTAGTCACGCTTGCCAGTATTTGGCCCATATCTCTCTCAACCCATCCAGATGCCTTTTAAATGTTGTAATTGTACCAGCCTCCACCAGTTCCTTTGGCAGATCATTCCATACGTGCACCACCCTCTGTGTGAAATGGTTGCCCCTTAGATCCCTTTTTTATCTTTCCCCTCTCACTTATGCCGTAGTTTTGGACTTCCCTACCCTGGGAAAAGATCTTAGTTATTCACCCTATTCCTGTCTGTCAAAATTTTTAAAAACCTCTATAAGACCACCCCTCAGGCTCCAACACTCCAAGGAAATAGCTCCAGCGTATTCAGGCTCTCCCTTGTAGCTCAAACCCTCCAGTCTTGGCAACATCCTTGTAAATCTTTTCTGCACCCACTCAAGTTTAACAACATTCTTCCTATAGAAGGGCGACCAGAATTGTACACAGTATTTTAAAAGTATATACAGCCTATACAGCCGCAACAAACATCCCAACCGCTATACTCAATGCACTGACCAATAAAGGGAAGTGTACCATACACCTCTTCATTGCCCTGTCTACCTGTGACTCCACCTTCAAGGAACTATGAAGGTCCCTTTGTTCAGCAACACTCCCCAGAACCCTACCATTAACTCCTGCCCTGATTTGCCTTATCAAAATATAACCACACATTTATCTAAATTAAACCCCATCTGCCACTCCTCAATTCCAAAGTAGAATATTGCCATCAGTGAAATGTATTTTTTTAAGTGCCTGAATTCATGCAATAGTCAGATTAAAAAAAAAATCCTTTTCAATACTTGACATGCCAACTTTTCACGTAAAGGCATGTCTTCAAAAGGAGTAATTTTATTTGAACTTTTAACTATGTCAAAATTCTTTCAAATGAGCCTTTGTTTTGCGGGTACCAGTTTTGCTTTTATATGATACTGTAACCAAGGACAAGAATGGAATTAGAACTGCCCATCATCATCCCAGGAATCACGTCTGATCATTGTTTACTGTTGTTCTATATATTGTGTTTTTATAATATGATTACAACAATGCAGTTTGTCAATATATCATCTAAATGCTCCAGTTAGTTTGTTACAATGTCTGTGTAATTGTCATTTTAATTTTTAAGTTTATGATTGTAATAGCTGTATTGCTAGAAAATAAATGTTAGAATTCTCCTAAATTTCTTGCAAGTGTCACACTTACTTGTATCACTTTCTGTAACAATACTGTTCTCCTACGCTGTACTAGGTTTGTAGGATTACACTGTCCACTGTACTATTACCATCAACCTGAGCTCTATTATGCCTGATAATTCCTACTCACTACTTCGAGTCAGAGTCCTACAGAACAGAAACAGACCCTTTGATCCAACTTGTCCATGCTGATCAAGTATCCCAAACTCAACTAGTTGCGCACTCTGAATGGCCTTTCCTTGTCACTCCATTGCTATCTATCTTACTCATGCCTACTTTTCTTGCCCCTAAAACAATCCTGAGGTGGTTTTCCTTTCCACTACCCCATTGTCTGCTTTTGTATCAATAATAGTTTCCAGCTTAATCCTGCAAAGAGCAAATGTGAAAAGACTTGTTCTAGTGTGTGATCAGAATACTGTCAGGGGTACATTGGTGCATTAAAAAGATACCTCTGAGTTGCTATAGATGAACATAATGCAATTTATTTTTAGAAGGATAAAAACCAAGTCTCTGGATTTTACCTTGGGACCTGAATCATTATCAATAAGGACATTTAAATCATTAGCCCTTCACTACTGTATTGAAAATAATAATGTTACAAATTAAATTTGGTGCATAGAATTGTAAATGTTTAGATCATAATTTATAAGGTAGCTTAGTAATTTTGTAAGGTAGAGGCTCCAGTGGATTGGCTGGGGGTATGATAAAAGCAAATTTCAGAAGGACATTAGGGAACAATACATTTGGAAACACATTTGTTTCAATACCAAGAGGGAATTGAGAGTCAACAACATATTGAGGGCACTTTGCAAAGGAAGACTGAAGATTTTCATGTATTCAAGGGACTTTAGAAGTTATTGGCAAACCCAACATTTATTGCCTATCTCAAATGGCTGTTGAAAAGGTGACTGTAAACTGGCTCTTTGAAAACAGTCCATGTGTCAGAGCTGTACCCAGTGCTGTTGGGTAGTCAGTTCTAGGATTTTGACCAAGAACAGTGAAGGAATTGTGATACAGCTCCAAGTCAGAATAGAGGGGGACCTTACAGGTGTTGGTGTTTCTGTGAACCTAGTATCTTTGTTGTCTGGATTGCAGAAGTTGTGAGTTTTAAGACATGTTGCCAAATAAGCCTTGGTGAGTTGCTGCAATATATCCTGTAAAAGGTAAACACTACTAGTTAGCTGGTGGTTGTAGGAGTTAATGTTGAAGGTGTTTGATGGGGAGCTGATTAACTTGGCTGATTCTTTCTTACTGATATCAACATTTCATGTTGGAGCTGCACACACCCAGGCAATTGCATGATATTCCATTATACTCCTGACTTTTTTTTAATGCATTCATGGAATGTGGATGCTGTTGGCTGGAACAGCATTTATTGCCCATCCCCTGTTGCTTTTGAGAAGATGGTAGTGCACTCTAAGTAAACCTTTAATGCCATTAGGGAGGGAATTTTAGCTTTTAGAGATGGTGGATAGGCTTGGGTGGTTTCAGGGGGTGAGTTACTCGCTGGTGAATTCCCAAGCGCTGATCTCTTCTTGCAGCTACGGTATTTATGTGGTCTGTCCAATTTGGTTCGGATCAAGGGCCACCCAAAGATTTTGATTGTGGGAATTCAGTGATACTAATGTCAAGAGGAAATGTCTATATTTGCTCTTGTTTGAGGTGATCATTGTCTGGCATGAATACTTATCACAAATCAGACTAAGTGTGAATGTTCTTAAGGTCTTGTATGTGGGCACAAAAATGTTCCATTTTCTGAATTAAGAATGGATCTGCATACAATCATCAACAAAAAATATCCAGTAAAAATTGAGCAAAGTGTATTAGTGCAGCTGAAGCTGTCTTGGTATAGAGCACTGCCATGATGACTTCCTACAGTGATGTGCCAGGGCTGAGATGGTTAACCTCTAATAGCCACCACCATTCCCCTTTGTGCTAATTATGACTCCAACTGGTAGACATTTTTTCCCTCAATCAGATTCATCTAACTTTGATGAGGGTTCCTTGACGCCACATTGGTTCAATGAATATTCAGGGTAACAACTCTGACCTTACCTCTTAAATTCAACTCTTCTGTTTATGTTTGCACCAAGGCTGTAAAATTATGATCAGGAGAGAAGTGGTTTAGCATGATGGTGGTAGCACAAGTGATTAAAATACTAGAGTTAAGCGTGCAAGAATAACCTGCAGTGAAGAAGCCAACTGGTATGCTGACCTTCAGTGTGAGAGGATTCAAATAGAGGAGCGTGGAAGGAAGTCTTGGAAGTGTGAGCCTTGATGAGACCACACCTGCTGGAGTATTGTGCACAGCTTAGGTTTCCTTATCTGAGGAAGGATGTTCTGGCTAGGGAGGGAGTGCAATTTAAGTTTTACCAGACTGATTTTTTGGGATGGGAGGACTGATTCTGATGACAGAATGGATCAGTTACGACTATATATAATGGGCTTTAGAAGAATGGGGGTGGAGGGGGGAAATCTCATAACCTATAGAATTCTAACAGAACTAGACAGAATCAATTCAGGAAAGAGTCTCCTGATGACCAGCGAATCCAGAATCAAGATCACAGTTTAAAAATACAGTTAGGACTAGGCCAGTTAGGACTGAGATCAGGAGAAATTTCTTCACTCAGAGTGATGAGCCAAAACATTGCATGTTTTCAAGAAGGAGTGAAACGATCACAGTATGGGGACAAAGTGGAATAGGATATTGAGTTGGACGATCAGCCCTGATCACATTGAATGGCTGAGCTGGCTCGACGGGATGAATGGCCTATTCCTGATCCTTTTTAAAATTGAATCAGAGACAGTAGGAACTGCAGATGCTGGAGAATCCGAGACAACAAGGTGCAGAGCTGGATGAACACAGCAGGCCAAGCAGCACAAATTGTTTCGGTGGCCCAGTACTCTGCAGTATCAGTTTGAAAGATCCTTCATAGGCGCAGAGCCTGTCTCCAAGTGTATCAGGACTGCAAGTTGAAGTATTTTTCTTGATGTTGCTCATGCGCAGAAATTGAACTTCCTTGAGGAAGGGGCGATTACCAAGAGGAACCTCGTCACCTGGCGCTTGCGTAGACGCGGCTTCCGGCCTTTTGAATGTCATAAAGGGTGGTGACCAGGGTAGGTTGTTCCAATCAGGAGACAGGAAGGCGAACCAGGAGCCAATGACATTGCAGGCTGGCTCGGGCCGAATGGTCGTTTAGGAGCAAGTGGAGATTGTGTTTCCGCTATGACGGCCGCTGCTCACTGACGGCACTGCTGTGGGCATCGTGGCCGTGGCCTCTTATTCCGTGTTGTCGGTGTTTCCCCACCCCCAATCCCCGCGGCCATGTCTGCATGGTGCCGGGCCGCCGCCGTTTTCTGCTTCAGTCTCTGCTACGTAGCGGCGGCAGCCGAACTGCAAGAAAAGGATGAAGCGGCTAAAGCGGAGACCGGGCAGCAGGTAAGGCTGAGGAAGCTATAGCGCCGCGGGCCCGGAATGCTCTCTGAAACCCACTGTGACAGCCCGGAGCTGGGCTGCTGTGGTAAACCGGAAAGGATGTGGTCTTAGCCCTGAGACAGCGAGAATTGCAGATGCTGGAGTCAGAGATAACACAATGTGGAGCTGGTTGAACACAGCAGGCCTGGCAGTATCAGAGGAGCAGGAAAGCTGATGTTTCGGGTCGGGACCCGATGCTGCCGGGCCTGCTGTGTTCCTCCAGCTCCACACTGTGTGGTCCTAGCCCCATTGCTGCCTGGTTAGTGTCCCGCTCCATGTAGCCAGCAGAAATCCGGATCAGCTAAATCTGTGTCAGCAGTTAGCTGCATGTTGAAAAAGGGAATCTCAACTCAAAGTGCTGACTGTTGTGGGTTACAGCGAAGTAGAGTTCGCTGAATTTACATTGTGAATATTCCGGAAATGCTATTCAGTCAAAGAGCTGGGTTATCATTAACGTAAATGTTTAATCTAAATATAGAGCCAAAATGAAAGGGGCTCTCCTGTTAGCTAGCTAATCTTTTATCTATGGCACTGAACTTCTATTTGCATCAGAACATTTGACCTTGTTAAGTAACTTCTGGAAGTCTTGGTATATCCCCCCAGTTCACCTACATCCGACATCACATATTTCTTCTAAGACCTTCAATAAACTGGTTAAATGTGGCTTCCCCTTCATACGCTCCGAAAGCTTGTGATTTCAAATAAACCTGTTGGACTATATAATCTGGTGTCATGTGACTTCTGACTATCCACCCCAGTCCAACACCGGCAACGCCACTTCATAGAACTGCATTGACTGTGCTGGATTACTTAATTTTTTGAAGTGTTGTGCCACAATTCCTTTCATAATAGCTTCTATCATCTTCCCTATGACCAATATTAACTAACCCGTGGTTTCCTCTTTTAGAATCACAGAATATTACAGTACAGAAGGAGGCTATTCGGCCCATTGTGCAGGCTTTTGAAAGAGCTACCCAGCTAGATCCATTCTCCAGCCCTATCTCCTTAGCCCTCTAAAATCATTGTTTTCAAACCCATATCTAGCTCTCTTTTGAAATCTCTTTGGAATTTGCCTCCACCGCTCTCCTAGACAGTGCATTCAGAATCTTAACAACTCTGAGTAAAGAAGTTTCTCCTGATTTCACTCCTACCTCTCTGAGTCATAGAGACAAACAGCACAGAAATAGACCCTTTGGTCCAACTTGTCTGTGCCAACCAGATGTCCTAAATTAACTCTGTCCCATTCGCCAGCATTTGGTCCATATCCCTGTAAACCCTTCCTGTTCATGTACCCATTCAGATGCCTTTTAAATTTTGTAATTGTACCAGTCTCTTCCTCCACCTCTGGCAGCTCGTTACATACACACACCACCCTCCGTGTGAAAAAGTTGCTCCTTGGGTCTTTTTTAAATCTTGCCCTTCTCACCTTTAAACCTATGCCCTCTAGTTTTGGACTCCCCCTATCCTGGGGAAAAGACCTTGACTATTCGCTGTATCCATGCCCGCCATGAT